CCACCAAGCCCAGTGGGCCCACTAAGCTCTGAAGCAGACAAGTCTTCAAGTAATCTCCTGGCCATAGCTCTAGTGGTTGGACACTTGGTCCATGCTCTTCCATCACTAATTTGTTTAGCGTAGGTCTGCCGATCAAAATGCTGTAGGATGACTGGGTGTTGACCACTAAATCCCGGACCACAACCGTTTTCATCTGAGCCCCTTGGCCAAAGGTCGTCTCCAAATCGGCGTATCCCCTCGCAACGACTTGGTCTCCTGCAAAACCCACCAAAGCTCCTACATAAGGGATAATTTGGTCATTGGGAATTTTCATCCCCTCAAAAGCTTCCCAAAATAAGATATCTGCGAAACTGCCCTGTAGACCCCTAAAATTGTCCGGGTCGGAAATAAAGAAACAAGCCAAAACAAACATCAAAATAATATTACCTCTTTTCTTTTGCAAAAATTGAATATTCGTGTAAAACTAAGATAGTTTATCTTAGTGAGTGTAGAAACTATTTCATCCTCTCTGTGAGTTATATACACACTTTAAACACATTCTTGTAAAACTAAGGTTGAAAACCTTAGTGAATGTAGAAACCAGTTTATCCTTTTTGTGAGAGTCAAATACACACTTAAAACATCTATCGTCTGTAAAGCCTGAAGAGGATAGCAAAAGAATACTTGCAGAACCAGAAGTGGTTTAAGAATACTAGCATTAGCAAGTGAAGTTGACAAACTAGGAGTGGTTGAGAATACTTGGGGAACCAGAAGTGGTTTAAAAATACTAGTGTCAGCAAGTGAGGTTGATGAACCAGAAGTGGTTGAGAATACTTGCAATCCATTGTGATTAGTGGAACCCTTCAGTTGAAGGAGACTGGACATAGCTCAGAACGAGTGAACCAGTATAAAAAATGTGCATTAATATTTATTTTAGAAATGCAATATTTAGACGTACTTATATTTGTTTGACTGAGAAAACCATTTTCGATCAGATGATAGATCTTCGGACGCACAATTCCTTTTAATCAACCTTGCACTTTCCTTACGCAGCTGAAACATTATTTTCTAACGGAAAGTAGCACCTTTGCGAAAATGTTTTTAAAATCCTTCGTACACACACATTCAACCCCCCTTCTGTGTGTTTTTCAATAAACTTCCAAAGAACGGTTTTTGCTTAAAAAGAATTTTTTCTAAGTAGAAGATGAAACTCCTAGACTGAAAATGCTTTTGTAAAACCAATCCTGGGTAGTTTCCATTCATCATTCCCCAATACCTTTTTACTAGACAAAAAGAGCCTTATTGCGAAAAAGGTTTTTTTTAAAATTCCTTTGTTCACACACACATATTCAACCCCCCCTTCTAGGTGCTTTTCATCTAACATCAATTGGTATCAGAGCTTAACCCCTTGGGTTGAGAATCTAACAATGCAGGGGTACATAGCGATCCATGGAAGAACGAAGGACAAATGAAGGCTGAAGAGCAAGGAACTCAAATGACTGATTGATGGAGATGGTAAGGAGGAGTGATGAATGTTCTTCTCCTTAGCTCTCCTTATGCACGGATCTTCTTCAAGGAAATAGAAACCAACGTTATGAACACTAGATGGAGGAGATTCTCGGATAGGAAGAAGGCTTAAGCCTTGGATGGAAGCATCCAAGCTTAAGGTGCAAGGGAAAGCTCACTTCAAAGAGGAGGAAATCCTAGAAGGGTTCCTAATGTGAAGCTTTCTCTCATGGTGACTCTTGAACGAAATTTGGCTGAATAAGCTCTCAAATTTCATTATTCTCAAAAGTGAATACAAAGAGTGGAGGAAAGGCTTAAGTATGCACCGAAAATGTGACACTTAGGCGCCTAAACTTAAGGCTCACAAATTGGCGCCTAAAGTTTGAATTCAAATTTGAAATTTGAATTCAAACTTTGGTGCACATGTGTAAGTCCGAAAATTTAGGTACCAAGGTGCATTTAGGTTTGATTTGAGAGT